AAAATTAGGAACGTACTCTTCTTTATTGTTAAAAAAATTAAATCATCTATCTATCTAAATTAACGACGAGTCGTTTGAAATTTTTTTTTTGTTTTCATGATAATGTACATAAATATTTTCCAAACAGTCACTTGTCGGTTGTAAAAAGCCTTTAATCGGCTGAAAAAAAAATAGTTATGAAAATGAAAAGTTTATTTCAATAATAACTGAGCAATAGTAATATATTTATCATATTTTATTAATTTATTTAATGAATACTTATTATAAACAATTGTAAAAACCTTAATCATGCTTTCTATATCAATGTAATTAAATAAATCTTCAAAATCACAGCCATGGATAGAAATAATATATTTACCTTACATGTACTTATGTATCTTTACTATAATTGAGTTACTAATATTGTCTAAAGTGTGCATAACGTTTTGTAGCTTCTTGCCTGGATGTGTAATATAAAATTTAAAACCATTAGTAATTGATCTTAATTTATTAGGATTTAATTTGATTAAATTTTGGAGTAAGGAAAATCTGTAGAAATTTAATTTTTTTTATGGGTAAATCTGATTTTTATAAAAAGATGAATTACGATATATACTTTCTCTATTGCTGCTATTAAATTTTATAAATGCATTATTATTTTGAAATGTTTGTATCCGACTACTTTCGGAACCGTGATTTTAAAAATGGTCATAAATGGATAATTTTCATGATATTTAGGATCACTAAGATTAGAATACATGTATAAAATTGTTTTAAAAACGCGTTTTGACAAAAAAAAATTATTTAAATACAATATTTCGGCAAAAAATTAACTTAGAATAATCTTTTTTCAAAATGTTCTCCTTTTGTGAAAAATGCTTCTATTATAATATTTTCCCTGTATATAGCTCAAACCTCTGTACAAAGGCTCAAGTATGATTTTTGAAAAATTCACTTTATTTTCAGAATTACAATCATTTGAAATAATTATTGGCATTTTTTTCTTAAATCCCTCCTCTCTGTTGTCGTAAAACATGGATAAAACCACTTCTAAGTTATATATTTCAAAAATTCTAGTTGAGCCTCTGTACAGATGTCTGAGCTATATACAGGCAAAATATTATTATAATAGAAGTATTTTTCACAAAAAGGAGAATATTTTGAAAATTGGTCATTTTACGTTCATTTTTTGTCAAAATATTGTAATTAAATAGTTTTTTATTGTAATACTATTCTTAAAACAATTTGATATACATTTTCTGATCTAAGTGACACTTAATATCACAAATATTATCCATACATACGCTTTTGCAAAATCACGTTTCCGAACGTAGTCGGATACCTTAAACATCGAACTATATAAACACTTGTAAATAATTGTAGGAAATAAAAACCCGAGACGAGTTGTTTATTGCTGAAGAAAGACACCAATTTGAGCATGACAGATAGATGCGACTCATTTGCGGAAAGTGCAGTTTTGTTCAACGCGATCAAATATATATGTGCGCTTTGCTCTTTTCATTTGTATCCTATTTCTGCGCAAGAAGTTTTTTTCGTAATAAATTAATGATGCTGAGCAACATTGTAATTGACTTTTTCATACATCTCATATCATTCGTTTCACATTTTTGAGAAAAGAATGTTCTTCAAATTTATCCAACAGGTTTGTAAGCAGTTTTTTTGTGTAGCGCATGGCAGTTTTACTATACCTTGAATCTACTTTTGTGACTGTAGCCCTTTTCGTTCATAAATTATTGGCTTGACAACTGACTTTAAAAGGCACACTATATATACGCGTATAAGTAAAAATTTAGCTTTAAAGCATAAACTTTTGTTTCATGTACTATTAACGAATTGCACTATTTAACAAATTTACACCTGTGATAAAAAAATACACAATATTTATTAATATTCAATACTTGGTAGAGTTTCCACCTGAGGCAATTACAACCTTAAACCTCTAGGGTCTGTTTTCCACAAGTGTTTGGATGATGGAAAATGGAATTTTCTTCCACTTGGCTTGGAAAAGACATGCAAGCTCTCTTACCAGTTTTGGACAGTTGCTGCACCCCTTAATTTGGTGATCTAACTCGTCCCACAGAATTTCTATAGGATTCAAGTCTGGACTCCGGGCACAGTCCAAATCAGTCCAGTCGGTTCACTTTGTTATCATCATACTCATAGACCTTGCAACGTGAACAAGTGGCGTTGTCCTCCTGGAAGTAACCATAATGCAACTAGTGACAGTGTAGGAAAAAAAACCTTTGTCTAGAATAACTTACTAGAAGTCAGCGTTGAGCTCAACATGAACAAGGATCAAGAGTCCTAGTCCATACCACGAGTAACTTCCTCACGCCACAATCTCACCTCCTTCAAACTTTACCGTAGATACAATGGCTCTGGCAAAAAGCGTTCTCTAAGCATACTCTAAACCCATCAAACTATTAGAAATTAAACATTGATTTATCACTCCATATAATCTTTTTTCACTAGTCTACCATCCAATTTTGAAGCCTTTTCCCACTTTAACTGAACAGTGTGGTTGAATTTTGTAATCAAAGGCTTCTGGGTGGCAGTATGACTACGGAAACCAAGCAAATGAATGGAAATCCTCGTGAATGGAAATTATCAAAACAGCAGTCTCGAATGCTTGGAGGAATTCCTGGAGTATGTTGGGCGTCGGTCTGGTACAGTGCATCCTAATTTCTTTGAACAGTACTAATCGGTATCTAGTTCTTAGTTTTGTGAATCTATCGGATCAAAGAACATTTTTACAATCACTACTCACTTTCCGCTTTTTAATCAAAAAGCCACAGCCAATTTTAAAATCTTTAACTCACTGGATATGTCCCTTAAGAATCGGCCGTTTCTATGATATCCGACAATTACGCTCTTCTCGAATTCAGGCAGCTCTGAATTTCGTGGCATCTTACATTACATGCGATTAATGCCAATGCTATTTCCTTCACTATATTTAAGCACAGATGGTGTGACATGTTGATCAGGACTGCAGATATCCTCAGGTGCATGGGTGTCCAAATACTAATAGATATAGTATGTTTATATATATATATATATCTTACAAAATACAAAGTTATATAACAATGTTATTCATTAAATTCAGCTTTTAAAATCAGATTTTTGAAACAATTTGTTCATTATTGATTTTGTCAAAGAATAAATTAAGACAAAAATATGCATGTTTATCTTTTCACTAATTATAGTTCAACTGTAGATCAACTAACGTATCGGAACGAAGCATGCTTCTGAAACATTTGAACTTTTAAGCAACTACTATAATTAATTGTTTTTATATCTAAGTCAATTTATTAGTCTAAAAATTTAAAAAGTACTATACAGAAAATATACTGTAATCCTCCATTTAAGGTAAAAACAAAATAATACACAATGTATAATACAATAAAAACTTTAAAAAAATGATAGGGAAAAATAATCGATTTAAAAAAAAAAATAAAAATCCACTACTTTTAAAATCCACTTTAAATCCACCTCCAAGGTCTTTAGGAGAGCTGGAATAAAGCTTACACCGTGTCTGGTCTTCGCGTCCCATTTCAGTAACCGACAACTTAAATAACAGCATGGAAATTCGATGCCGCCAATGCATTCAAGATAGGGGTGTGCATATCCCTTATTAAAACCCATTTTTGTTATGTTTCTGTGACTTTTTACCACATAAAACTGTGGTTATTATTTTTTCCAAGAATGGACTTTTCCAGTGAGATTGCCTTTTTTTGTTGTAAATCATTTTTGAATTTTTGTTATGTAAACTTCTATCTTGTAGTCAATACATAACTGTTTTGTGCACATGTCATCCAAATTTGATGTTTCTACATTCATTCATTTGCAAATAAGTCGCAAAAAGCCGGTTGTTCCTTAACTTTCGGAGCCCAGTGTATTACAAATTCAGAGCAACTATTTATAACCCACTTGTATTGATAAAGTAATCTTTATTTGAGCCACGTGAAATACCAAAGAGATACTAATTTAATCCATACTTATTAAATTAAAAAAAATATTTTTCAGTAATTTGTGAAAATATTTTAAATTGGATGCCTAATGTCTAAAAATATACAAAAAAATAGCTTTATTAAATTCATCTAACAATTTCAAATTAGTCGCGTAAAATCAAGCTTCAAGGATATGGAAATACTTATTACTAACATCTACCTTTTATTATAAGGAAATATTTTCTTCAAAGCCTTTTGGCTATTATTTTGCAAAAACGACCAACGTAACAATTACAAAATGCGGGAATATATTTTTGGAATAATCACTCTCTGGGTCACTGTCCTGACGTCATGATGTAGGGGTGGAACTAATTTCCTACTCTCATCCTGAAGTGATCAATTGTCTAATTTTGCTCTCTCCTCCCAAATCATCAATTTTGTCTCTATCATTTAACCGAACCCGGGTTTTTCCCTTTACTCTTTACAATGTATAGTTCTTTTGACCAATGTGCGATAATGCTAGTTCATTACATTAGTTCAATCACTTCTCCAATTAACGAATGCGACTGAAACCACATGTCAGCGACAGAGAAGAAAAAAAGGATTGATCGCACATTGGATCAGCTAACCAAGAGAACACAAAATAAACTATTGGGAAACTGAGACTAAATAAAATAAGAGACAAGTCGATATTAACAATCCTGATGAAAAGCGAGATGAATGAATGTTGATTGAAGTTTTTAGGTTCAGTAAACAAGAATGTGTGATTGTAACAAGTAATAAAAAAATTGAGTCACAATTCTTACTTAGGTCAGCACATAAAAATTTTATTTTAGTTACTTTGTATTAAATACGTATATACATATGACAGAATCATCACAATATTTAGTGACAAAAAAGGAAATGATTTTTCTTGCAATTTTCCATTTTTCTTTTTATATATGGTGCTGGACTGTTTTTTTTTCTTTGTTATTATTTATTCATTAATTAAATTTAATTATTCTATTAAAGTAGTATAATAAAAAAAAGAAAACACATTCTCAGAAATTAGGCCATCCCTGGTGGGATTCAAACCCACGACTTTTGGATTGGAAGTCCAACGCACAGTTCATTGCGCTACCGAGACGCAACGAACGATTTTCCTTTCTATATATGCTGTTAGAGTATTATATTTGTTTGTTACTATTTATTCCTTTTTTAATTTAATTAATGAATAATTATTTGGAAAAACTGTATTAACATCAAGTGTCATCCACTACAAGAACTTGAATGGATGAATTAAAAGTATTTTATTAACGATTGAAAATTTGAACAATATTTATATAGGGAGAGCATGAGCTAATTGTAGGAATTGAAAAAGAGGAGTATCTTTTTTTTGAGAAAGGCTCGTGCATCAGCCCAGAACGAGTCAAAATAAAATGTATATCTATATTCAGTATAAAGCTAAATTCTGAAAGAAGAAAATTCCATTATTTTAAATATGAACAGAACAGTTTGCTGTTCACATAATATCAAAATGATTTTCTCTGAATGTGATTATCGTTTATAAAATGGGTAATTTGAGTTATAAAAATTGCAGAGCATAATTCTCGAAAATTTGAATTCTTTAAGTTAATTAAAGAAAATGATAAAGAAACATATAATTTTAAAAACATTTTTAAATCGTTTTTAATTAGTAAAATTTCATCAGAAATTCTATTTGGATGGTCTAAAGAATCATAAATTGTTTTAAAAATAGACTCCGGCTTTCTTATTTTATAAGTTGTGAAAATAATGAATATTGAATTGTGTAGTAATAAGTAGTTGAGAAGGTAAAATTTGTATAGAAAAGAAATGGATGCATGAGAAAATTATAGATGAAAAATTGAATAAAAAATATTTGAAAACTAACTGAACCACTTAAAAAAATATTTCATAATTAAAATAAAACTTTAGTTCTCAATTTTTACAAAACCTAATGCATGTTTGTCCTTCAATTATGACTATTACAAAAATATAAATTGTTTCAAATGTAAATGTAAAGAATTGTTGCTTTACATTTACCACCGGCTAAATCTACCATGCAAATGAGTCTGATATTGGGTATGGTACTCTTTCTCAACCATGCAAGTAGCACAGCAAGATTGCTTACTAGACAGGAAGTAGTTGTGAAATCCCCCTGTGGTAATCAATCGCACTGAGACCCTAAAATAAAATAATTTCTCTCTCTAGTTCCTAGATGGTTTTCGGTTGGCGAGATACAGTTGTTTTCCCCAAATATTTTTAAACATGCACTATAAGGTAAAAATTATCCGATTTGTCTCGCCAAATCACGTGACGACTATTCTCTCTTTTCAGCTAATCATCGACCCGCTAAGCCAGCGATACTCAACCTGCGGCCCACCAACCCTTTTTAAGTGGCCCGGTCATGGATCATTGCTCTGAGAAATTTACTTATTTAAGAACGTTGCATTAAAAATTAGGTGGGAATTTCTTTGCAAGAAATCCGATATATCAATTTTGCTTTTTGCTGTCGGTGTTGTACGGGTATGAATTGATTATCTTTTTCTATTTGGAACGGTTACAGTTAGTGATAACAGACAACAGTCGAGGAGCGATAACTTTATGGATGGAACTAATTTTTAACTATCTTTTATATCTTGCAAGTGAAAAATATTCGAAGAAAATATATCGTTTCAAGACTATTGGGAGGTTCTCTATTTTGTAGTGAAAAACAAACATGGATCAGTAATTGTTTGATTTGTCATGAAAGTGCTGTATTTAAGAAATACCAATAAACAGGAATCATTCAATGACACTTTTCCTCGAGATCTCTTTCAAGAGGTGATAAATAGACTTTTTCTTGAATAATCTTTGTAGCAGCAAAACAAAGTGCTTTGTCAGTCGTAATATCACAGCGGTAACAAAGACATCCTATGAAGTTTGTTATACTATTGGTAATCAAATGAGACCTTTTACTGATGCAGAAATTGTAAAAAGGAGTGTTTTTTAAATGCATCTAATTTAGTGTGTTAGTGTAAAAAATAAAAAATGTAAATAATAATAATAATAATAATAATTAAAAAAAGCAAAACAGGAGTTATAATATTTTTTATCAAATTTCCACTTTTTAAATTTCGAATGTTATCTTGGTCTTAAGGTAGTGCTTCTCAAAGTTGCAATACTCGCGACCCAATATTCAATCATTATTTTTATCGCGCCCTCCCATACAATAACAATATACTGAATTCAATAATACTTTACTTTGACGCTAAAACTACGATACGACTTCAACCTCTTAAGCCTCCCCCCTCGTGTATATAAACGTCTCGGTAAGCCAAAGCCATTATTTCTCCAGACGTATATATATGTCTTTCCAAAGTACGATCTTTTCTGTACACCGCTATCCGTAAAATTATTCCAAGACTTCGGATTGCAATAAAAAGACCATGACAATGTTTGCAAAGGATTTACTTATTTCAGATTATTTTTGCTCCTTTATTCCTCTCCCCTCCCCCAATACATCACATACGCGTGCCTACATGGAAAATGGTTTGCAATTGGAAGCGAATCGCGAAATTTATGATCGGCCGTACAAAAATTATCAAGATATAAATTATAAACCGTACAAAAATTTTCAAGATAAGTGCTAATTTTTGCTATAAACTATATATATGACAAACTCAGGGGGTCACTCGTAATTAATAAGCTTGTTTTTAACTTAGAATTGTTACATTAATTATATAAAATACATTGTGTAGCAATGACATATTTATAAGTATAATACATCAGTGTAAATGTGCATTTTATTAATTTATTTTTTTATGTCAGAATGTATTTTGTTTGTTTAATTTCAGTAAATTAATAATTTATTTTAAAATAATCTTTTGCTCTTGACTTTTCGAATTCTCGTGCACCCCTTGTAGAGCTGTCACGCCCCCCAAGGGGGACGCTCCCCACAGTTTGAGAAACACTGTCTTAAGGCATTTCTCTACCTGTCTCCTCCATTAATCATGCTGCGGCCCGCGTGAAATAGATGATATATGTATGCAGCCCTGCAGAAAAAAAGGTTGAGTACCCCTGCATACCCGTGCTTTGAAATTGAGTCCAGGTTGAAGCTCGGATAATCTTTATAAAACTCGGCTCTCCACTGAAGTCTGGTCCAAGAGCATGTTGTCTGCTACTCACTGAAAAGTGGCTGGTGTTACAGGTGGTTTCCCTGAACGTTGTTTATCGGAAACAGAACTGGTTTTGTCTGAATATTTTAACTACGGTCTTGGAAACTATCTGGTGGGGACGGCTTTCGAAACTATAAGTGAAAATGTTTTTCATCTGTCTACACGCCAATGCATACAAATGAGCATACTCAACGGCTAGTCTTTCTTTTGCCATTAGCAAGGTTTCACATTACTCCTTAAGGTATCCGACTACGTTCGGAACCGTGATTTTAAAAAAAGCGCGTAAATGGATAATTTTCATGATATTTAGTGTCCCTCAGATTAGAATAAATGCATAAAATTATTTTAAGCACATTTTGACAAAAAAAATTATTTAAATATAATATTTTGGCAAAAAATTAACTTAGAATAACCTTTTTTCAAAATGTTCTCCTTTTGTGAAAAATGCTTCTATTATAATAATATTTTGTCTGTATATATCTCAGACCTCTGTACAGAGGCTCACCTATGATTTTTGAAAAATTCACGTTTTTTTAGAGTTACCACCAATTGAAATAATTATTGGCGTTTTTTTCCTTAAAATTGCTCCTCTTTGTTGTCGTAAAATATGGATAAACCCACTTCTAAGTTATATATTTCAAGAATTCTAGTTGAGCCTCTGTACAGAGGTCTGAGCTATATACATGCAAAATATTGTTATAATAGAAGCAATTTTCACAAAAGGAGAACATTTTGAAAAAAGATTATTCTAAGTTAATTTTTTTGCCAAATTATTGTATTTAAATAATTTTTTTTGTCAAAATGTCCTTAAAACAGTTATATACATGTATTCTAATCTAAGTGACACTAAATATCATGAAAATTATCCATTTATGCGCTTTGGAAAAATCACGGTTCCGAACGTAGTCGGATACCTTAAGATATTTTTGTTAATGATTTCAATGAGATGTTTATTGCAATAAAATTTGACTACCATAAGAATGTATAGTTACTTTATAATCATCCCGTATTTCAGCTATAGTGATTAGTATTAGCAGAAAAGAAAGAATAGAAGAAAGAATAGATTAAGTATTAGCATTTATAGAATAAATAATATTAATGTTCAAATAAAATAGCAAACATAAATATAAGTTTTAAGACATTGAAATCGTTTTTCAAATGCTTTTGTTTTGAAACTTATTGTAAGCTATGAATTTATGTAATGTAAAAATATTAAGCGACTATTCAGTATTCATATTTCTTCAAGAATAATTAGAGATAGTTCAATAGTTACAAAATCGTCAGAAAATTGTTTAATTGCCACAGAATTAGTAGTGTTTGACTATGAATATAATTTAATTCAATGTGTTTAATATATTTGATTATGAACTGAAGTTAATTCAAAATGTTTCAGTTTTTTTTTCTTCTTTTATGTATGTAAATATATTTAATTGTCACTGAATCTATTTTCATTTATTTTTATCTGTGAACTTATTTTATTTGCATTTATTTTATCAGTTTAATGTTAACCGTTTATCAGTTAACCGTTGGAATATCCAACAACAGTTTTCTTCTGCCTGTACGGGCTTTGCAACTTCGTTTTTCTCTAGATATTTTATTCGAATCTCGGATTGAAGATAGATAGGTTAGAATTCAGTTCTTATTTTTCTTGAAATTCCAATTATTGATTGCTGCTCTGTTCGATGTTATTCTTTTGTCATGATTAAACTGCATTAACCATGAATATATTTCAGTGTGTTGTATTTTCTTAGCTGTATTTTGTACTATGTGCAAGGTGGGACAGTAAAATTCTCGGACTGCTCATGCCCTATCCACGGTGTAGCGAACCTTTATGGATCAACGTGCCATTACTTTCCTGAAGAAATGTTTAATGAGGTATAGACGTGCATCAAATGATTTTCACTTGTGATCATAGAAGAAATAATAAAACTAAATACGGACAGTTCAAAACTTTGTATTTACTACGAAA